GAGTGCTAAATAAATAGCAGGTACTGTTCAGAAGGCACTATTGTTGCAATAAATGTCAGAATCAGGTTCCCTTCCTGGAGGGTTTAGGTGCATCACTTTGCCAAATGACAGGAAGGACCTGGAGGAGAGCAGGGGGATTCTCTCCAGAGAGCCTGAGAACTTAGGCTTGTATTCTGCTTCTTTGTAGAACCCTGATGCTGTAATTTAACTTGGCATAGCACTTCTTCAAAACAGAAGTATTTTGTGAGGAGCTGTCAATCTTCCAAGTGTGTTCTCCAGGAGCCTCACACTCAAATGTGTACAGGGAAAGGTTTACAGCCTGTGTGTGCAGGCCAGTCAGGCTGTGCCAAATTAGAAAGCGGGTTCCCTGCCTAGGGCTGCTTCGCTCCAGATCACTGTAACTATGGAAATGACACTTTAAAGAGCCCTTTTTATTTTAGGGCTATTAAAAATTGTTTATTTAAAAAATCAAATTTTTTTACATATATGTAGCTTATTCAAAATACATTTAAACCCATGTGGACCAAACAAAATGATCTATAAGTCTTTTAGCTGATATGAATTAAGTGTCATGTTCTCTGTACCTCAGTGCCTTTGCACATTATGCACTCACTCCCTTTTTCTCTTTCCCCATGCAGCTCTCTGGTCAAATGCCCCTTCACCAAAGAAGCTTCTCCAGACTTCCCTATCACAAACATTCACTCAATGAATAATAGAGTTGATTCACTGTCTGTCCTATGGGTCCTTCCCTTGTTTTCTACCTAAATCTCTCTCTTATCTTTCCAAGCCCCTCCCTTCACATCTTTCTAATCACCTGGCTCACCACCTGCATTGGCCTGTAATTTATTTTATTAGTTTCTTAATTTATTTCAATTGTATTTTCTATTCTGGAAACTCTATCCCGTGGATCAGACTCCCAAAGTATAAAAATWATTGCTCCAGTTTTAATTCCATCATGGTCAAAACTCAAATGCCCTTTCGAATAAATGGTGACTTTTCCCCTCTAGCTATGTCCTGAATGCTTTGTCTCTGCCCAGAATTATATGTGGAAACAATTTCCCCTAAAGTGATGATCTTAGGAGGTAGGGCCTTGGGAGGTGATCACCTCAGGAGGATGGAGCCTTCAGGAATGGGACCAGTGCCTGCTAAGGGTTAGATGGGAGGTGTTCCCCAAAACCTCGTGTGTGAGACAGGTGTGAGAATGTTCAGAGGTGAAATGATTAGATTAGGGGAGCTGTGAACTAATCTGTGGATTGATCCACTGATACAGATTAGCTGGGTGGTAACGAGAGGCAGGCAGGATATGATTGCTTTAGGGTTGACATTTTGTCCTGGGTGAGYGGAGGACTCCCTTTGCTTCCTGGATGCCATGCCCTCAGCTGCTTTCCTCCTCCACCCCCTTCTGCCATGATGTTCTGCCTCACCTTAGAACTATGGAGGCCACCAAGCCCRGACTGAACCTCTGAAACATGAGCCAAAATAAACCTTTCTTCTTTTTAAATAGATTATCTCATTTATTTGATTATAGTAATAGAAATCAGACTAAAACCACACCTGGGCTACTCCTAATTCAGATACTGCTTGTCCAGCTTCACCTGCAGTGTAATTCCGGGAGCAGGGCCTAGAYAGATGTTTGAAGGGCTACGGCACAAGCAACAATGCCATCACCGTAACGGCAATATGAAAAGTATTCACCATGAAAAGGAAAATACAATTTCTTTGGTGAAAAGAACAACGAGGAAAAAAAAAAGGAAATTGTATATTTAGGTGTGAGACGAAAAGAAACATAAGTTTAGTAAGAATCAAATAAACAAAGCAGGAAGTAGTTGGCGTAATTCAGATTATGGGGTTTAAACTAAGCTAATCAGGTTCAAATCTCTAGATATTAATCTTAAAGCTTTAGTCATTTCTTACAAACACTGTTAAGGTCTGAATTGTGTACTCCCCAAATTCAACTGTTGAAACCCCAAGACCCAGGACTTCAAATTGTAATTGTATTTGGAAATAGGGCCTTTGGGAGTTAATTAAGCTAAAATGAGGCTATAGGGATGGGCACTACTCCAATATGACAGGCGTCTTTACAAGGAAAAAAAAGATTAGGAGCCAGACGCTCAGAGGGGCAACAATGTGGAACACATAGGAAAAGGCATCATCTGCAAGCCCAGGAGAGAGGCCTCAGAGAAACCAGCCCTATGGACACCTTGATGTTGGAATTCCAGCCTCCAGGTCCCCCAGAAGGCATCTCAGCCATGTAAACTGTATAGTCTGTGGTACTTTGTTATGACAGGTCTGGCAAACCAACCAAAACAAGCACAGTGTCCCAAATAGTAAATATTTAGCAATATTTATATTAACACACTATTCAAACTCAGATTCCATCAGTCAACCTTCATGCAATTTTTGGTGTCATGAATAATATCGTGGGTTTGGGAGAGGCTGTTTTTTTGTTTTTTGTTTTTTTCTTTTTTTCCTAAGACTCTCACAAAAATTCTTGACAACCATTTTATCCAGAACCCGCCAGCTCAGAAAGAGCACATTTCCTACTATAATTTAAATATTACATTTTAGCCTTTAAAATCCATGGGGAAGTAGAAAAATTTCTCAAGTATTGAAACCATACCCCTCCCTGCAAACAACCCTTCCCTTGGCTTTCCTCACCCCAAGGAGTGAGAACCAACTCCATCCGCTTCTCTGTGGCAAGCTCTCAGACACCAGAGGCCACTTCTGTGTCTTGGGACTCGTGTTTGTTTGTTTCTACAAGTGATTCTACTCTCTTCCTTTCCTTCTCCAAATGACCTGGGCTCAGGAAAACACATTTCCTGTGTCTCCTCCCTATGTCATCTCCACTTTATCCAATTTCTCTTTACAGATTGGTGTCTGAATGCTAGGTAGGGTCTGTCTGAGACATATGAAAACCCTTTCAGTTCTCCTAGCATCTGCTCCAGAAAGACTGACATCCTGGGTCACATCAGCTCTGGGGACAAGCACACAGTGGCCTGGAGRAGGCTGAAATGTTTCTCACCACATCACTGGTGCAGAGTGCTTTCCCAGCCTTATTGCATGTACTGCTTRTCCAGAACAAGAAGCAAGATACCCCATTTATTATAATCCTCCTTAGCAGATTCAGTATTTTCATTATAGGCCAAATATTTTTTGGTCCCAAATATTTTTGGTCCATGATAGCTTTAGTTTCCTCATCTGTAAAGGTGGGACATGGTAATTTCCTGTCCTCCAAGGGCTGCTCAGGAGGTTCTATTGAGCTACCTAAGTACAGGATTTAGAATGAAGCCCACACCTATTTGGTTCTTGCTGTACGACTACTGTGGAGGTTATTGGTTTATACAGGTTGGGATAAAACTCTTGTCACGACAAGAGTCCTTCCTCTGGCCAACACTGCCAGGCAGATCTCCGTCCCTTCCCCGAAAGCCCTCAGGCAGCAACTCCTGGCAGGATTTGTTTTTTGTTCAGTGCTGGGAATTGAATCCTGGTCTCACACTTGCTAAGCAAGTGCTCTACCTCTAAGCTGCATCCCTATCCTTTAAAAAGTTATTATTATTTTGCTTTGAGACAGGGTCTTGCTAAGTTGCTCATGCTGGCTTTGATCTTGCAATCCTCCTGCCTCAACCTCCCAAGTAGGTGGGATTACAGGTGTGCTCCATGACACCCAGCTCAGAATGGTTTTGTGTCTTATTCTTCTGGAAGCCTCCCTCTCATCGAAGGATGCTCCCTGCACCTGTTCTAGTGAGTGAGCCCCTGTTGGCTCTCTGACAGAGTTCTCAAAACTCTAGTTCCTTACCAGCTTTCTAATAGACCAAATATCTCAGCCCCCCCCAATTAATTTCTACTAAAATTAAACTTGACAAAAGAGATTTTTGACACACTATATGAGGGATCACTGCTGTGCTCTACTTTCAATAAAATGGAAGAACACATCCACACGAGTACAAAAGAGCACTCACATTCAAAAGAGCTGAAGATTTTACAAATCCTGATTAGTATTTCAGACAAAACTAAATCTGAAATGCCCATATGCCAATTAGTTTTTAAAATCACATATCAAAAGTTTGGGGGAAAAGACYGTGACACAAAGAATTTGATGTGAACAAAAGAATTGTAAATGAGGTTTGCTTTTAGATAAACCAGTAAAAGAATAAACTATTCATTTGTTTAAATGAGAGACCTGACATGAGTTTGATTGTGTGAGAGCTATATTCCTCCTCATTTTTTTAAGGTTAAAAAAGAATCATTCATTTGATTACATACTGAACAATTTTGCAAAGCAAAGCATAACTGGAAGTGCTGAAAATTTGCATACTGTATAAAATTCATGCAAGACCCCTTGGTCTTATGATTGATAAATCAATTTTTTACTCTAAAAAAATTTGTAAGAACAAGTTTCTGTGTTTTATCTAGTGCCACTTCTAGTCATCATTATTTCTTTAAACACCATCTATTGTAGGACAATATCACTCACTTTAATTTTTGAGTTCTTTTTCTACTTCTAAATAAAACCAAAGTGATGTGGCACTGTTATTAAGAATTTCCAGGGAAATTTATTTCAGAGCACAGAATTGCTCTTGTTTTCTCTTAGCAAATGCTTCCAAGCATTTAGACTTGGATTGCTTAAACTTAGCATCAGACCAAGAATGATGATGAATCCAAGATTTAAAATGCAGAAGCAATCTAATTAAATGTATGCACTGAAATTTCCTTGGATTTGTTTTCTCTTCTGCTACATCAACCATATTTCAGACTGTCTCTCTTTGCCTTCTCTTTTCTCATGCCAATATGTTGCAACATGTTCTAGATGAAAGTTTACAGCCAGGGTAAGATTCAGTAAGAACTCCATCAATGGTTCAGAAATGAAAGCAGCAGTGAGCTGAGCGACTAGGTGCGCCCCCTCAGCTCTCATCCTTCTCTGCCAGATTTCCCTCARGTGGGCTATCATCTCTGCAGAGCAGGGGGTGCCTGTAACTGGTGTCCAGTGAAAGGGATCTTACCACATGGCGGAGCAGTCAAAATTCACCAAAAGCCACTTGTGGGGATTAAAATTAAATGAATCTGCAAACTGTCAAAGAATAAGAACAATAAAAAGTAAATTAGTTATAGATGTTTCAGTATAAAAGAAGACCTTTAAAAGTTTACATTTTTTAAAAGTTTACATTTTTCAAAGGATAAAAAAGTACAGTTAAAATATACTACAGGGAACCAAAATAAATAGAGTTTATATTCCAAATGAAAGCACTTTCAGATTTTACATAGTCTAAAGTCAAATCAAAATTTTCCATATTTTGGGCTGGAATTGTAGCTCAGTGGTAGAACACTTGTCCTGTACATGGGAGGCAYTGGGTTCAATCTTCAGCACCATATAAAGATAAATAAATAGAATAAAGGCATTGTATACATCTACAACTAAAAATACATTTTTTAAAAAAATGTATCTTTATTGTATTTCAAGGTACTAGGATATTTGGAATATTTAATTCACAAGTACTATGTCTAAAAATTRTACTTACTGTGCTCATGAAATACTTTTATGTCCACAGTTCTTTCAACTCCATGATGTAGCAAGCAGAGTTCTTAGATTACATATATCATCATGAACCCGGAGAAAGTGAAAATTTCATATCTAATTTACAGTAATTAGAAACTCATTTTTTTTCATGCAACTGATTAGTTCCTTTGCCAACATGCCATAAGATTACAACTCTTCCCCTTTACCTTAGTATTTTTCTCTATTCTTAAAAACAATATCCAAGTTTATTGTATTCCTAAAAGTTACAGAATCCATGGCTGGAAAATCATGTGTAGCAGCTGCAAACAACCAAGCAGCAGCTTCATCCGCCATATTTTCAAGGAGAAAATGAGAGATTTCAACCACCTAGAGTGGCTACAGAGGGCACTTGTCCATGCTCACTCAACTGCCATACATGAGACTTTCTTCGATTTTTCAAAATACACCCTCTGGTTTACCATCTGATTGATAAATAGGAAGTAAGTTCATCAGAAATGTAGGGGATTTGGACACATGTCTAAAGACACAGTAAAGCAGAAATAGAGGGAGGTGCCATTGTGCAGCCAGTCTGGTCCCATCTTCTAATGGGAAAAATTCTCAATCTGTCCAAGCCTTGACCCCTCTTCTCTATTTGGTTCCTGGGATGGACACTGAGGAGGCAGCAAAGATTGAAGAGGCCAGGTCAGCATCAGCAGGGAGACATTTGGTCAGCAGATGGCAACCTTCCACATCGACCTACTCTGGAGGTACAGATTCATTTCCTTCCAGGTTTCAAAAAAAGTAATTTTGAGAAAGAGACAGGAAATTACAGCAAGTTTCATTTGTTGATAAAAGGAAACAAAAGGTTAAAGAGGAGCTTTGTTTGCTAGGAATTTTATTAGTTCCCTCCTCTGAGGCTGATCTGTTTAAACTTCTTTCATTACCCAACAGTGATATTTTCCTCCCGCTGACAGAGAGAAAGGCTCTTATCTCCAAGGGTAGGGCCACCACAGGATATTGCAGCTCGCTTATCTGACCCACTGAGCAGCAAAGCCCTCAGCCAGGCGAGGAGAGAGTCCAGAACAATAATGGAGGAAAAATTGAAATGACTCCTTGTTGGGCACGAAACACTGTCTGCTGTCGATAGGATCTGGTGGGAGTGCTCATCTCGGAGGTGGTCTGACTGCTAGGCACCCTTCTATGAAAGGAAAAACCTCAACTTGTCAATCCATGGGGAAAAGAAAAGCAGGGGTAGGAAAAGATCATGAAACTCCCAAACCTGACACCTGGAGTTAGATTGGAGCTCTGGCCCAGGCCCTGCTCTGGAGAGAAGCACATAAATTCAAGAAGAACTTCCCTGAAGCTGTCCAGGGACAGTCTTTTCAAGCAATGAGCATTATCTCCATAATTAAAGGTATTTGCATGGCACAGGTTGAGTATCCTTTATCCAAAATGCTTGGGACCAGAAGTGTTTCTGATTTCGGATTTCTTGCATTTCAGAATATTTGCATATACATAATGAGAGAGCTTGGTGAAGGGACCCAAGTCCAAATATGAAATTCAAATATGTTTCAAGATACGCTTTATACACATTGCCTGAAGGTAATTTTATACAATATTTTTAAAGTTTTGTGTGTGAAGCAAATTTTCACAGTGTGAAAATTTCCATTTGTGATGTCATGTCAGAGATCAAAAAGCTTCAGATCTTGGAGTCTGGATTTTTAGATTAGGAGTGCTCAATCTATATAGAAATTTATTCTTCATTTTCTAGCACTAAGCATCCACAAAACTAGCTATCAGCAATGAACTATAGAGGGGCTGGTACTCCCATCACATTATGAGAACATCTTGCAAGCTAACCCCCACTCCAGGACTTACATATGTTTCTGGAAGCTTCATTTATCCTCAGGGATCCCTCTAAGCCCTAGCATGTATGAAGCACTTGATAAGCAATTGGTGAATGAATAAATATGATGAGATATAAACAAGAATGACACTTTATTCATTAGTAATAAGGGGATTATTCTCTTCAAAGATGGGGCTTTTGTATTCTATACCTCAGACATTCACTTTTCTGGTTTTACAGCACTATGAGACTTCAAAACAGTAATTAGAAAATTGATTGGTAAGCCTGACCCTGACATGCAAGCAGAGAGAGGTTTTAAGGAAAATTCTCCAAGCAATGGTGAAAATAATAAAAGCATCTAATGCATGCTCAGTACTTCCTGTGTGCCAGACTGTTCTTAAGCCCTTTAAATATGATTGACTCATCTACTCATTATGACAACCCCATAAAAGAAGCATCATTATGAAATACATTTTATGAGACATAGAGAGAATACCTAACTTGCCCAAGGRTGCACAGCTAGTTCTAAATGATCAAAACGGTAACAGAGTCCCAGTCTCCCCAGTATCCTGATTAATTTTTTTTTCTTTTTTGGTGGCTGAAATTCCTTAAGCTGAGGATGGAAACTGAGGAACTGGCCCCAAAATCTTGGTGGGTACCATCAAAGGTTGAAACACTGGAATCAGTGAGGCACTGTGGTATATGCCTATAATCCCAGAGGCTTGGGGAGCTGAAGCAGGAGAATTTTGAGTTCAAAGCCGGCTTCAGCAACTTAGCAAGGCCCTAAGCAACTTAGCAAGAACTTGCCTCTAAATAAAATATTTTTTTAAAGGGTGGGGGCTGGCGATGTAGCTCAGTGGTTGAGTGCCCCTGGGTTCRATCCCTGAAATAAAAAAATAAAAAAAAAAAGGAAAAGAAAAGCTGGAATCCTAACTCTAACTCCTGGAATCATAAATCTACATATGCATACTTCCTATCTTGTCCACTGTATCCCATTCCTCTTATAAAAGCTGTTCATGCCTTTGAGCCCTCACAAAATGGAGATTCGAAACAGAAGATGTTTCTTCTATCTTCCCCAGAGCCAGTTTTGAATAAACKTGTTTTCCTTCATCAACCTCTGCCCTCTCAACTTTGGTTGAGCTACAAGAAGCAGAACTTGCAATTCTGGTAATAAAACCAGGGATTCTAATGGAAAAACCTGCACCATTCATCCTGATCACATGCAGGGGGAGATCTCACCAAGCCTTCCGCCCATAAGCAGAAAGCAATTATTTCCTGGTCAATACTACKACTCCCCTGATTCAGTATCTCCTTCCCTGGACACATTTCCAACAGCAGCTTCTTAGAACCTTTCATTGCTTTCTGGGGAGGAAGGCTTTGTACTCTGTGAGCTGTCACAAGGACGAATCTAAAATAACGTCAGCACAACCACAGGTGCAAGTCTGTACCACTTCATGTTCCATAGTTCTCTGGAAAAGCAGAGAACTGATCAATAATTTTGATTGCTATTTCTCAAATGAAGCAGGTATTTTACTTGGCTTTATGGGCCACATTTTATAATTTCCGGAAGGGTGCCTGGGGACTTTAAAAGCTTTGGTAGCTGCTTGTTCCATGTTGGTTAAAGTAACCATCATGCTCAGATGTAGGAGTAGAATGTGAATAACAAACTGAGCCAGATTGTAGATGATTCCAGGTTGGGATTTTAAATTATCTTGTGAATAAAATGCGTTAAATTTTTATTTTGTTCCTAAATATTTTCCCATAATTTTGTAAGTTAAATGTAACCTATTATGCATAACTCTGCCCGGGATGTTGTAGACTGAAAAAATAGCTGTCAAAATCCGGAGGACCTCAAAAAGACAGGCTGTATGACTTGTAGGACTGGAGAAAGTTCTCAGCCCTTAGCCTGAGGAAGCAGGATTTCCAATAATCAGTGGAATTGATTGGAAAATGACTTGCTGAAACAAACCACAACAGTGAGAAATTGAGTGTCAGATCTTCATAAAGGATAAACATAGTGCTTAAAAAAAAAWTTGGTCTGGGAGGCATAGCTCAGTCATATAGTGTTATCCAGCATGTGTAAGGCTCTGGGTTTGATTGCCAGCACCTCACACACATGTAAAACAAACAAACAAACAAAAAGAAAATTCACCTTATTACGCAGCAAAAATCTCACCCACCTCCACTCCGTTCAGAAGATGCCGGAACTCAGGGCAGATGAAGGCACTGCCTGCGTATGCAGAATCAATGTGCAGCCACATGTCCTCCTTCTTGCCTGAAGCCAGAAACAATTGTTGAGTTTTTACACGGTCACCCTGTCCACGTGTAGTCGGATAGATGACCTCGTCCTGGCCAGGATCCTTCTTGTATATACAGCTCATCCATAGTATTTGTGGAATTAATGAATGGATCCCCAAAGGGCCCCTGTTCTTAGAAGTACTGAAGCTGAGAGCAGAGGTGTGTGCCGTTGGCCCTGGACACACGCCAGCTGCTCAGTGAGTGACTGGAAAGTAGGGGAGACAGAATCCATTGCCAAACCCTCACTGCTCAGTAAAGTGCTTAGGAGCCAGCAAGCGCCACCTCTGCCTCCCTTGCTCACCCTTTCACTGTCTTCAAGGGACACCACCCTTTACAGTCCTCCCTCATCTCATCCACCCAGAATTTCCTCCCCTATCCTCTTTGCCAACCCATTCTCAAGTTCTCCCAACATCCTCTGAGGAAAGGTCTGGCACACAATCCACATGCTCTGCCCCACTCCATCACCACCATGAAGTTAGTCATCTTACACTATCTTTAATCATGAAGTGGATTTCTGTTTTCCAATCATACCAGAAGAGCCTGGAAGCAGGGGCCATGCTTTTGTGGGGAGTGAGAGAGCCTCATGCACAGGGATGCTCCCCAAATTTGGACATATCTGGGTTCAGCTCCTGCTCCAATTGCTCAGGAGCTTTATGATCCTGCCTGCTTCCTCCAAGGTCCATTCTCCTCAAAGGCAAAATGGACATCCAAGTTGTACTCATAACTCTGAGCAATAAATTAGGTGATCTTCACAGCATGCCTATCAGCACAAGGTTGGTGAGAAATAAATGYGTTTTCCATGACTAGTCTTTCCTTCATCCCAGGCACCAGTTAATCACAAGATAGGTGAGAATTGCGGAGCGGGTGGGAGGAAGCTGTGCCCTGTACAGATGAGGGTGCCAGGTGTCAGAGTCAGCACCCGGACTTTTGCTGATCAGCAGAGCCACCCTTCAAATGAGCATATGTAATGCTCATGAACCAGTGTACTTTGAGGAGAGATAAGTCACTCTGAACTCTGCTGATAAAAGATACAAAAGACATTTTAAATCTTTGACTCGGTTTGATCTCCAGGATTAAAACTCTCAGTTGGATCAAGATCAAATGTGTTGTAAGGGCACACGTCAGTCAGGGCACCATAGCCAAAGACCGTGGAGCAGAGGGTGACCTGAATGGCCTGAAGGAAGGCTTATTGGCCAAGATGTCTGGGTTCATCACCTCTCCAACAATCAGACCCAACTGGTGGTCACATGACCCCATGTGCATGAGGCAGGAGACAAAGCCCTAGCATAATATGGGGCTTCTTCCTGGAGAGTCATTCAGGAGATGACGTCAGGATGACCAGGACAGCTACAGCTCAGATGTGTGTGGGGTCAATAGAAACTTCACATTGCTTTATAAGAGAGCGCACAGAATTTCAAAGCATGCTATGGTCTGAATGCTTGTGTTCCTCCCAAACTATATGTTGAAATCCTAACCCCAGAGGAGATGGTGTTAGGAGTAGGGCCCTTAGGAGGTAGTTAGCTCATCAGAGTGAACCTCTAAATATGGGATTAGCATTCTCATAAAAGAGACCCCAGAGAGCCCCATGCCTGCCATCATGTAAAGATACACAGATGGCACCATTTGTGAACCAGGAAATGGCTTCTCACCAGACATAGAATCTGCCAGAGCATTGATCTTGTAATTTTAGCCACCAGGAATATGAGTAACAAGTTTCTGTTGTTTATAAGCCACCTGGTCTAAGGTATTTTGTTAAGCAGTCCAGATGGACTACAGGCAATTTTGGTCTTCCCAAGGGAGCTGCTTGGGCCACACACAGACTTTTAGTGATGGAATTTCCTTTACTCTTTGAGGCCCTCTGGTAGAATTTGTGTTCAGTTCAGGACTGTTGGATGAAGGCAGGAGGCAGAGCAAGACTCTGAGACTGAATAGGAAGACGGATGAACACACCAGACACAGGATGGGAGGAGAAAGGGGCAGGATCCAGATGGAGTCAAGAAGCTTCTCTTTTCTTTCTCACTCCTTGTTCTTCCTCCTTATAGCCACCATCCATAGGCATAGGTGGGTAACACAGAAAAATAGTGAAGAGAAAGAAAGGCACTCAGTCCCACAACCCCTCAGTTCACAGCACCTCCTCCAGAATGTCCAGAGGGGAGATGAGGTCCTGAACCCCAGGATGGGACCAAGAAGGATGTCAGCACCCAAGCCACTCCAGAATGAATCAGACACCTGGGGAGGGGGCGATGGGTAAGAAAAGACCAAGAGAACTAGTTGGTGAGAGAAGGGAAGGGGGCACAAGATAAAAGATATGCAACAAAGATGTAACTTACCACCAAAACATCTAGCCTTTGCCCTTGGTTCCTGGGAGATGGGCCACTGTTTAATACAAGAATGTCCTGCTTAATACGAGTTCCTTTTTTTGCCTGGGCCTTTGGCCTCAGATAACCTCAATATGATTTATGATGGGGGCATTGGACTACGCCAAATCAGTTCTGACCTTTTGAGAAATTGATTACTAAAGGTATTAGCTGGGCTTCCAAGAGGAACTGGAGACCAAAGGTCAGCCAAGCAGGCAGAGTATGATCAAGGCCCTATGAGAACTGACAAGAGACCTAGGAACATGGCTCAGTGGTAGAACTCTTGCCCGGCATGAATGAGGCCGGGGGTTCAATCTCTAGCACCACAAAATATATTTAAAAATAATAAAAGTAAATCCAACAGAAAAAAAGTCTGGTGAATTTGCATCTAGAAAATCTCCCTTCTCTAGGCATATGGTTAGACATTGTGACCGAGAAAGTCCATGCCCTCATGACTCCATGGAAGAGGATCACCAGAAGCTCCATGTTCGCACACTCCTGGTCTCTGACCTGTGTGTCTCCTCCTTGCAGGGATTTTAATCCCTGCCATAAACCATAACCAGGAGCATAGCTTTTACTGAATACTGTTAGTCTTTTAGAAGACGATCAAACCTGAAGGAATTGGTGTCAGAGTGAGGGCAGTCAGAACAAGGTGGTCTTAGGGACCACCCTTTAAGCTTGTATTGGCCCAAAATTCCAACAGAAGGGAACTCATAGACATTCCTTGTAAGTTCTTTCCATGTGGGCTTCTCTTGTGCCTGGGGAAATAAAGCCTGGTTGATGCTACCTCTGTCCTGTGCACCTTGTACGTGATTGGTTGACACACACATTTCCTTCCCACATATATGTGCACATCTAGGAGCTGGGTGGACACAGAAGATCCACAGCCAGAGCTAGGGGAGTTGCATGGGTCGGTGATACAACTAGCCCTTGAGCAAGGTCACCTGGGTGGAGAGGACAGGGGTTACCTCCACAGCCTCCTGCTACTGGCACCTGTTTTCTTACAAGGCCAGGTTGCCCCTCMGGCTTCATGCTCTCCTCCCAGCCATACTGACCCTCAGGACAGAGTTTTGTCTGCCTCCCATACACTGTTCCCCTTCCTCATTCCCTGAGACCACCTTACCTGTTCAGCCACGTCCCAGCCTTAATTTCCACACTTGCACACCTGGCTTCTAACTGTCATCAACTATCTTCTTGTTGTATCTCATCATTTTTTTTTTTTTTTCACTAGAACCTTCCTGGGCCACTACCTCGTCCAAGTGAACTAGTAGCAACCACTTTTTTGGGGAAATCATTTTCAAAGTGACTAAAAAGAAACTGTCTTTCCTAAGACAGAAATTTGAGGACAATCATTTTCTGCTTTGTTTCTTTGTCAAATGATGGTGGTTGAAAAACTTCCTTGAATTGTTTTAATAGATTATTTTAATCATACTCTAAGGTGAGGTCAGCTCAGGATCTCAGAAAAGGCAGCTTGGGTTTGAAGAATGCTAACTCTTTGAGGATAGTCAAATAAGAGGTATGAGATGAGGAAAATTAGGTTAAAAAGGTACTGTCTGAATTGCTAAGGCAATACCAACCCAAAGTTAGTAATTTCATCTTCAAGTACAAAACTATGGCAATGGATGAAAGGGTTTTGCCTTCACCTGTGTCAGCTCCCTAAGCATAACCCAGAAGCAACCTCTGGGCTTCAACCAAACACAAACAAAAGCCAAGCTCTACCCACAGCCTCCAGACCCTGCAAAGCAGAGGGAGCTCCAGGACASCAGGACTGTGGAGATGCACTCACTGGGTCATCACAAATGGCAGGTGTCACCTGCTGGTTATCATCACCTGCTTCCACTGGTAGAGAGCACTCTGCTCAGGGGTCAGCAGCCACAGAAGACCTGGGCCCTTTAAATTTGATAGCCCTAGGGAATTACATCAGCCAGCTTTTGGCCAGGACATTCAGTTCTTAGCCTGACATCTGAGTCAGAGGACTTCGAGTTGCTTGGCTGAGCCAGTGAAGGTTTGCAGTTAAGGAGGCCAATGCTACGCCGAAACCCTGCGCGGGCCAGTTAGTTCTGTCTCTTCTTCTCCACCTGGTTGTGTTTGGCTGCCTTCAGCCATAGCTCATAACGGGTGGAGCAAAATCCTGGGTGAACAGGAAAGTATGTACCCACCCCACTTCCCAGACTACGTAACTAGCATTGCATTCCCTATAGCACAAGCAATAYTGTCCACTTTAACACGTTGTCCCCTTGCATTATCTCGTCCTCAGAACAATCCTGTGAAGGAAATATTTTTTTTTCAATGACAACTGTTGATTTTCCCCCCAATTTTGAAATATGGAAAATGAAAGAGGCAGGCCTGAGCTGGATGGACCACAGCTTCTCTGTGGCCAGGGCCATGGTCTCCCACCATCACTACAGAGTACCTAAAGCACCCACTTTCCCCAGACACTAACCAGAGGACAGTAGCCCTGGAGAGGAGGATGCACTCCTGAGAACAGACCACAGGAGCAACCTGGGTTAGGAGATATGAGAAACGTACTTGATGTATGCAGACTGAGAATTGGGCCTAGTGCCAAGCAAGTGGCATGTTGCTTGGCACAAGCCATAGGCATGATAGTCTGAGAGTCTGACATTTTTTGTTCTTTTATTTATTTATTTATTTATTTATTTATTTATTTTGGTACCAGGGGTTGAACCCAGAGGTTCAATAACCACTGAGTCACATCCCGCAGCCCTTTTTATTTTCTTATTTTGAGACAGAGTCTCACTGGGTTACTTAGGGGCGTGTTAAGTTGATGAGGCTGAGTTTGAATTTGCAGTCCTTCTGCTTCAGCCTCCTGAGCYCCAGGTTTATAGGTGTACGACACCATGCTCAGCCTGAGAGCCTGACTTTGAGGCAGCTCTACCTGGAATGTTTATATCCGAGGGACAAAGAAAGGGAGAGTTCCATGGACCAGTGTCTCCTTGGTGCCCAAGGAGAGTTTTCCCATCCTTAGAAAGAGCTCCAAGKCCTGTGGAGTTTCCAGAGTCTCGCATTGAAGTTGAAACTTTACAAACACAGCCACTTATTCATGTTGTACCTTGGGAAGCAGAATCATAGTTTCCATGAGAAAACCAAAGTGCTCAAAGGGAGGAAGAGGTAGGCGTGAGTCAGCACATCTTGTGAATCACAGAGTATTCTTTGGAGAAATCCAGTTTCAACCTATTGATTTGCTAAATTACTTTAAGCAATCTGCTTAAGTACATTCAGCACAGCCATGTGTTGTTGAATGATGGGCTAGGCCCTGAGAAATAAGTTGGTCATTAGGCGATTTTGTCACTGTGAGAACATCATAGAGTTCTTACACAAACCTAGATGGTCCAGGCTGCTGCACACCCAGGCCATGTGGCATATACCATCCTATATGTGGTCTGTCCTCAATAGAAATGTTATGTAGTGCATGATTGTAATGTTAAAATGGCGCGCGGGGAGCGGGGGTAGTGCTAAAAAATATGCCACAAAACTCAATCTAAGCGTGAGCAATATAGATGTCACGTATATATAATAAACCCTCATATGATGGTAAGTTAGCTTTAAGATGTTGAAGAATTTATTCTCCTCAACAGGGCCAGCATAGCCTGCAATTTTGTAACATTATGATATTGCTTGGAGCATTTTTTTCCCCCCGTATAGATAGTATGTTGGTGTACTTAAGCTCAGCTCTTGTCCAACTATACCAAATTCTGAGTTTTTAGAATTCTAGTCAATGAGGTTGTAGTATTGGAAATGCAAGAAGAGTTCGAAAAATCATCACAATATGAAATGAATGATAAGGAATAAAATCCAAAAAGAAAGGTTGGCTAAGGACAGTTTTCAAAAAGAATATGGAATTAGATACTTACAGATAGGGCCCACTTCTAAGAGATTGTCAAAAGAGCAGCAAGACGTGGTCCCCAGTGTAGCAACCACCTGGAAAGTAGAGAGACAACCTTTGAAACTCTCTTGTGTTAGTCATTGCTGTAACTTCCACATGTACAACCATTGCCAGGGGCTAGCCCAATTTCTTAACTTGGTACTCAGTGAATGGAAATCCAAAAATGCATGCTTAATGAAAGTATCCTTGCAGGTTAAGAGAAACAAACTTGCAGACAGAAACCTGAGAAGTAAGATTAGATAATAGGGAACTTGGAAAAGATTTCCCATGTATGATGCCTTAGGATATGGATAGATAATCCTATATTCTATTTTTTAAACATATCTATTTAATATAAGAACATAGTTTCTACTATGATGAAAGTTTTTTTCCTCAGTTGAGGTTAGGCAGGAGTGTGTGGGCAGAGCAGAGAACTACACATCAGAAATAATCCTTGTTCCAGCAAGGCTGGAAGTGCCCAAGGCATCAGTGAAATGATTCTTTTAGAAGAGCCTTTGGGATCAGCTAAGAACCACATCAGGGCATTGACCAAGAGTTTCTGACACTAGCTTTTATCTGCCCCACTTTCTATCCTGATACTGTTCCCAAAAGATTAACTTCGATTGTCAGAAGATTCATGAGGAAGCASGCTGATGTTGAAAATAATTATAAAAGCAGTGTTCTGAAAAAGCACTGCGTGCTGTAGATCACATAACTAGGAAATGTGGTCCAGCATTCACTGGGCTCTGTCCTGTCCCCTGACCACCTTGAGCTGCTGTGACTACACCAGCACTACCTATGCTGTTCTCCTATGCCTCACTGTCTCTCTAGACCCATGATGCTCCTGAAACCACGGTCTGTGTCTTATTTCTTTGTAATGCTGGAAATTTGCTCTATGCATAACACAGAATAGATGCTTAAATATATTTGCTGAGTTGAAATTCTCTCCAAATGAAAAAAAATAACATTTCCAAAAGCAAAGAGTGTAATTGATTTATGGATGTCCTATATTGTCTGGACAATGAAGTTGTTCCTTATATATGACAATAGTGTAAAACTTAACACAATGTATGCAATCTTTATTAAGCCCCCACTAGGGTCTCAGCAACACCATGGGCCATAAGGATAAAGTTGGAGAGGTCAGGAATTCACATGTAAGAACCCCAAGCATAGGTCTTCCTGGTTCCATCTCACCTATGACTACCTTCGATTGATCTGAGAGACAAATTCACTTCAGTGAGAATCAATATGTTCTTGCCAAGGTAGCATGGCATCTGCCTTTGGATAGCTCATCCAACTGGTCCTGTCTGGGCAAAATAATGTCTGGGCATCAGAGTTCCCCTGCTGCCCAGTCATTCATAGGATGTTCAGGTGCTGTTTGGGCTCAGTTCCCTTATCATTGAGCTGTGCCCAAGCAGAGTCAACTCCACAAGAGGCTACCCACAGGCCCAGAAGAGGCAGGCTGTTGCAAAATGTGGGTTTTATCATTATTCAAGTTTGGTGAGCCCAGTAGATCAGGAGATGACTGCCAGTGAAGTTAGCTTGTCTTTCATGGTACCCAAGAGGGGGACCATGCCATGCCATGGGGGGCCACAAAGGGACACATCAGGATTGGTCAGGAGATGGAAGAGTGAGGAGAAAGTGTTAGCAAAAGYCTTTATTGTGGTTTTTGTGGAGAATTACAGATGAGGCAGGTTTAGCATTGGCTGCTTTGAACAATGTCACTGGGCTCTGGGGCACAGGGGATGCCCCTGTTCTGTGGTACCTAGTTTGAGGCGATTAGGGTAGGTAGACAAGGGCCCAGAGTCAGAGCTTCATAAATGCGGTGGGGGTGGAGGGAAGCAAGTCCTGAGCTCTGGATAGCTTAGTCTGCATATGAAAGGTCTAGCAAATCTTTGAATATCAATGGGAATTGGCTAGCCCAGGAGAGGCAGTCCCTCCTCAGTAAGTCCCAAAGATGTTAAAGCATCAGAAACACAGAAAATTAAAAAAGCAAGATTAATTCAAAATTAAGCCATGTATTTGGAACAAAAAGATCTGGGTTGGTGACTCAGCTCTGTATTATATTGGCAGGCACCTTGCTGGGCTCCAGTCTTCCCAGCATACAGCACACGTGGGACCCACCCTTGAAAAAGGTGCCCATGGACTTAAAGTCCCATAGCTCCACTTTTCCTGGCAACCTCAAACCTCTCTGTCTTTCTGTGTGTGCCTGTCTCATTGCAAGCATCCAACATTCTCCACACTTGTTCCACTTAGACAAGTTGGGGCATTTAGTGGGAATCAACTGAGTGTGTTATTTTTCTCTGATATTTGCAATTTCATCCTGATATTTAATTGAATGTTAAAATGCTTTAAGGCACCTGGTTAACTCAGTTGGTAGAGATGATACTGTTAGAATGCTTTGTCTGTGTCATTAAAAGTGAAAATTATGTACTTGATAAAACCACAGAATGACTCAAGACATTAATATTGCTTGTTATTGTGTTTTCTCCATTTTACCAGTCTTTTGGAAATGATCTAACTGTAGTGTAGCAATTCTTTCAGTTTTAGCTAATGATTCTCTGCTAAATGCTAATTGGACTAAATGCAATAACTTCTGCTATTAAAATTGCTTACATATTAAATATTCCCTTGTTAAAATTATTTTTATCTATTACTGTATGCATAGAAGAGTCTCTAGAATGATGTTCACCAATTATTATGACTGCTCATCCCCTGAGATGAGATTCTGGTTAACACACACCTTTTTTCTTACACTCTTATGTAATTATTGATTTATTTGTAATAAGCATGAAACATTTTTTGTAGAAACCATAAAATTATGCCTCATCCTTTGCTGTGGGTGACTGGGGGGGGGGCACCCTGTGCATGAGCTAAGTATCCCCTCTCAATCTTGAGTAAAGAGGGTATCAGACTGGGATCTCATGCCAAGCGCTATGTGGGAAGCAAGTGGCTTTTACCTTCACTCAACAAAGAAGCGCTTCAGCTTTGGACTTTAGCGTTACCCAACAGGATTGGGCAACCCCTTTGAAAACTTATCCCCTGCCTTATTTTGGGTAGAATATTCTATCAAATGTCTTTTCCCTATAAATAAAGGGGTTCCAGGTGAACTCGCTCTCTTGCCTTCCAGAATGGAAGAGGATCTTTGAGGTCACAGAGCCATCTGCAAAGCCCTCTTTGTGAAAAAACTACTTCCATGTCCCTGTGGTCTTTTTGTCGCCAGCAGGAACCAAGCAGAGTGATCCCGATTCCATTGCCCACACGGGATGTGGGCGATACTTTGCACTGGTCTCGTGCTTTCCAAGAATATATCTCATTTGACTCTTTAGGAAAGGCATGGTAAGTATTATGATTGTTCCTTGAGAGCAGTGGAGACTGAAGTTCAAAAGATAAGTGATAGGCCCAAGGTCACGCAAGTAATATACAAAATACAACATGTTATGTAATTTTACAGTTTTTCTTTCAGCAAATTAAAATATTTAAGATACGATTTGGCATCTTGCATTATTTATTTCATTGTGATGATTTAGCCATATCATGAACTAATTTTTAAGAAAACATGATCTATTTTATGAATACACCTTACATTTTAAACCACTTCCCTGTTGTTGAGCTCAGCCTCAGTTGAGATTAGAAATGGGTGATATTTTTTGAGTGCTTACTTGATGGCAGGCTGGGTGTCAGGAGCTTTTTGTAAATTATATTCAATCACCCCAGCAGCCTTCATGAATTAGATAGGATCAAAATTCCTACTTTATAGTCAATTTAAGTAGAGTCCCAGAAGTAGGTAATTGTCCAGGAAAACACATAAGCATGAACAGACCAAAAGTGACATCAGGTTTAGTTAACCTTGTTGTCCTGTCACACCTAAAGACAGGATCCCTGGAGCATTGTCCCTGAGCTGCCAGTTAAAGAACTCAGTGTTTGGGGCAGCGCCAGGTGCACTTCCAACAAGCCCCAGCATGTTGTAGCTCGAGAGGGAGGACAGTGGGCAGGTGTTAGGGATCCAGGCTGCAGAAGCAGCAGGGGGCCACGTGGACAGTGTTGGTAATGACTCCTCCAATGTCCACGTGGCACTGAGCTACAAGTCAGCTTGTCCTAATTCTCCGAAGCCACATTACAGCTAGCACCTGCTCTGCTGCGGGCTCTTATTACCTCAGCTCAGCATTGCTCAGTGACACTAACCTGATTTCCGTCTGCTCTGGGAGACATAATCACATTTGAACAGGGGAGGGAGGGGCAAGAGATGGCACAAGTCTCCATCTCTGAGAGCCTGCGGCTTTCCTGCTGGTGGCAGAGACTAGCGTGACCTCCCCCGCTGCTGTCCTGGCCCCATCCTCCAGCCTGGTCTCCTCACGTACTTGCCTTGCAGGCACTGCCTTTTGTTGGTGGCCTGATGTTATTAAGTCAACTCGTGAGAGAAGCAAAACATCCTGAGTTAAATAGGAAAACTTTACCCCATGACCCAAGTGAGTTCATGAAGGGGCAAAGATTTAGTTTGCCTGATTCAGACTCTGCCAGATATACCCCTAGCTCTCAGTGGCAGGTCTTGAATGTGGAGAGGACTGTGACCCCTTTGAGAGTATTCTGAAGGCTATGCCTCTGCATTTCAAGAGGGTGCGTGTGTTCATTATGCACACACACAGAGCTACAACCACCCCAGGACAAGTGGGCACAAAGACAAAGCCCAAGCTACCACCCCTTCCTTACCTGGGCCTAATAATATATATGAATTTCCACAGATGCTCAAATCCATCACATAAAATGTATAGAATTGGCAGATAACCTCTGTATATCTTCTGGTATATTTTAAATCACACTTGATTACTTATAATACCTAATACAATGTAATTACTATGTTAATAGTTGTTAGATTGTATTGTTTAAGAAATAACCACAAGAAAAAAATTCTGTAAATGCTCAATACAAAAACAGTTTTGTTTTATTTTTTTTAAAAAAGAATGCTTTTAATTCATGGTTTGTTGAATCTATGGATGCAGAACCTACAGACACACAGGGTCAACTGCACAAACCTTACGTGTTGCTTCCTGTCTTA